AACTCAGATGTAATGTTTACATTTAAATATATTGTTTATATTTAGACTTTAATTTAGACACATTTTCGGTTTATTTTTAATATTTACATTTTACACATAAATCATAAACCCACACCAGCTTCAATAATATTCTTCAAATTGATTCACTAAAATTGGTTTAATTAGTTTTGTTGACACATCTGGCGAAATTGTATCCATTTATTTATCATATCAAGGATTTACAGAAAATGTAAGAGCATAATTTCAGTGGTGGTATAATTTCATGATCTGAATCAGTATGGTCTGTAGTTTAATTTCATAAAACATCCACAAGCTTTTCATCTGCATGTTCAAACCGAAATATCATGTAAAGTTTAGCCTCAGTCTGTTCTAGAGTGTTAGCTTTTATTTTATGTATTTTTTAAATGTAGTCATTTAGCAGATGCTTTTATCCAAAGCGACTAACAAATGAGGACAATAGAAGCAATCAGAATCAACAAAAGAGCAATGATATACAAGTGCAAGAGCAAGGGTTTGTTAAATAATATAATAGAATAGAATAGAAAAAGAATAGCGCAAGCTAGTGTTAGAGATCTTTTTTGCTTTTGTTAATTGTATAATAAAAGAAAAGAAAACAGAATACAAAAAGATTAGAAGGCAAGTGTTAGTTTTTTTGTTTTGTTTGTTTTAAAGAAAACAAGCAGCAAATGAATAGAGTCCAAGTCTAAAAGGGTAAGTTTTTTTAATAGAATAGAATTAGAATAGAGAGTGCTAGAGTTAGAGGGTCAAATAAAGACACTGCACATTTTGCATGTCTCCTTTCTATGATGCACCAATTTCAGGTCTTGGAGTCTCTACTAATGAGCTGATGACCTGAATCAGGTGTGTTTGATCAAGGAGACATGCAAAACGTGCAGTGTTGGGTGCCTCCGGGACCAGGGTTGGGAACCACAGGGGCAGGTCATTCCACCAGGAGGGAACTGTTCATTTAAATGTTTTTAAAAGTGATTTTGTGCCTCTTTGGGATGAACAATAAAGCGACGTTCACTTGCAGAACGCAAGCTTCTAGAGGCACATAACTCTGAAGTAATGAATTTAGGTAAAGGGGTGCAGAGCCAGTGCTGGTTTTGTAGGCAAACGTTAATGCTACTGGTAGCCAGTGCAAACTGATGAACTTACAGTTTAATGCTGAATGTTACTGTATCTGCGCCGCTCTATTCGTGTCGTATACTGTAACAGACATCGACTAGCAAGATGATTCGTTTCCCAAAAGCAGGTTTTAACAGAACATGTTTTTGACTAAACTATTTGCTTTTGAGCTGGAAGTGTGTAGTTTGCACAAGTTGGTGTGTAGTTTTGAGATTGTTTGTAGTTGAGGAAATGGTGAATTGTGTGTTAGCAATCGAGAAAAACTCTAATGTCAAGCCCTATGGTCTTCTACTCAGTTGTGATCTATTTTATTCTGTTCTGTTATTTTATTATTTTGTGTTGTATTGTTTTATTTTCTGTTCAATTCCATCCAGTTCTATTCAGTTTCTGTGTCTATTCTATTATGTTGTTTTATTGTCTTCTATTCTGCTGTCTTTCATTTGGTTCATTTTTCTTCTATTCTATTCTATTGTGCTGTATTCTCTTATGTTCTATTTAATTTTTTCCCTGTTCTATTCAGTTGTGATCTATTCTACTATTTACTCTTTTGTTCTATTGTTGTTTTATTCAATTTTGTGTTGTGTTATATTTATTCTTTTGTGTTGTATTTTGTTGAATTCTGTTGTATTTTTCTGTTCAATTCCATCCATTTCTATTCTGTTCTATTCAGTTTCTGGTTTCATTCTGCCGGTGGTTGAGATCGCCTCGCTCTGCAAGACGGAGATTCTGGTACCTGCACACATCTCACGCCAGAGCCACACAAAAATACACTTTCCTATTTACATTCACTACAGCTACAGGACTCATCAGCTACAGCCAAACCTGTCAGTCAGTGAAGCAGCGAGAAAAGCTCGCTGATGTGATGATGAAAGATGATTTAGGTTCAGCTGAAAAACATGTTAAGAAGCAGCAGAAGCTGATGGATGTTTGTGTTTGCTCAGAAATGTCTGCAGTACGAGGAGCTGGGCCGAAGCGTGTGAGTGAACTGCAGGCAGAGATGAACGACTGGATTCAGCGCGGAGAAAAACTGTTCACTCCATTCAGGACATCACAGCCGACTACTTCAGAGACCCGTCCAGAGCGCTCACAGGTCTCTCTCTCTCTCACACACACACACACACACACACTGCTGTATACATTCAGATCTTCACCGTTTATAATACACTTATCTAATGCTTCAACTTAAATCTGACTCTCACCACAGATGAGCCCTAAAAGTGGCACAGAGATCTGCAAAGCATGCAACAAAATGCACAAATATATTCTAGATTCTCTTGTGAAGTCCCGTACAATCTGCCAACACACACGGTTCATCTTTTTAAGACCTTTCCAGCTTTAATGTAATATAGTATAACATAATATAATGTGAACGTTTGTGTAGATGTGTTCTAAAATGCGCTTCATAAATAATAATGTTTGCTTTGCATATGTCTGTGGTTCGGTCAAATACAACCCTCTCGTACTTGCAGCATGCAGATGCCTCTAAACGTCTGAAAACGTTTGTGTCGGAGGATGAAGCCCCGCCCTCTCATGAATAATGACATCAGACATTTACTCTACGGCTGCAACACACGATTATTCTGATAATCGATTAATCTAACGATTACTAAACGATTAATCGACCAATCATCGATTATTTAGCTGATTAAACGGTAGACTTCGATTGATTATTCAGCTTTTGCAATTAGTTAAAATATTGAGTTATACATATTCTAACAAATAAATAAAGGTAATCACTTCAGCTTTTGAAAATCATATTATGTAATTACAATAATTATACAATTAATTTTTAAAAACAATATATATTTGGCTCACAAAATGAGATGACAGACAGGGAAACTATTATTCACTGTTTAGTTAGCTATATGAAAAAGAAACTGAATGACATAATTCTGCCTGACATCTCCTTCTGTAAGTCACGTGGATAAGAAACAAAATAAAGGTAAGTGGTTTTATTTTTTGGATAAACTATTTTATTCACAACATAATCTCTCCTAAAGTACCTTATAGGGTTATGCTAATCAAAACAGTCCTGAGCTAGATCAAGCTTCTGCAAACCAAACTATCACTTTAATGAAATAATATTTTCCCCACTAATAAAAAGATGTTATCATTAGCTTTAGCTCCACACTGCAGAGCTGCTTTATAACAGAAAATCAGGTTGTAATTCTAACTGAAAGCGACACTGACGCTGGTTGTTCATGTTTAATGCTGTAAAGCTGCTTGATTTAAGGCTCTCTATTGCGTAAAGTACTATATAAACAAACATGACGTGACTTTACTGGAGTACAGAACAAACATCCGTGTCGCTGTAATCAGATGCTTTCTGAACTGCTGCTTTCTCACCGCTGGCAGCTTTTGCGGTGTTTGTTTTGTTATTGAGAGGAAAGCGTGCAGCATATATTTACATTAATCTAAACGCCGCTCAGCAGCCTCAGGTTCGGCTGCGTTTGCTCTGAAGCGCTGTCTTCTCTTGAACTGTATCAGGAGAGCTGAATTACAGTCTTGCGCTACAGCCGCTTTGCGACACGCAGCAGCAGTTTGGTAGCGTGTAGTGCAGTGCAGTTTTTCCTTCTACTCGCAGATATTATTTGCCTTTATGTAGGACCAATAGATTAAAAAATTATTTTATACCAGCTGCCATTGGTTTTTTAAATTACAAATAATCTTATGTATATTATTAATGGAAGTCATTGTTTTTTGTCTGTGTGTTGTGGTGTTTGTTTGTTGATTGTATGTGGTTTACTGCTGGCTGAGAAACTAATGGTCCTTTGGGGATAATTAAGTTGACCGTGACACTGGTAAAACCGCATTACTGCAGGCTCTTTCATTAGGTCATATGAGATCAAACGACTATTCGACAACAAAAATATTTGTTGACAATTTTTTATTGTTGAATTTGTCGATAATGTCGACTAATCGTTGATCGTCGTTCTGACGTGTGTGTGTGTGTGTGTGTGTGTGTGTGTGTGTGTGTGTGTGTTTCTTCAGGTATGGTGAAACAGATGGAACAGGATCAGAAGAGATTTGGCCACGCCTCTTGGGCAATGGCCACGCCCAGACAAGAGAAACTCAGTCCTATTGGATAAAGAGACGCTGCCCTACATGAGAGCAAAAGAGATGTGCATCAAACACAAGAGAGACGAGATCCGAGAGAAGGTGTGTGTGTGTGTTTGACTCTGGATGATAGATGCAAACAGCCTGTAAAATCTGACACACTGATATGTTTTTGTATTTTAACACCTGAGAGTTTGATCAGTATTTGCATGTTCATATGCTCTTTCAATATTTATGTCTCAGAATTTGTCATTGATCCACAAGAGGGAGCAGTTTCACTCTGCTGACAATCAGATGCAGTGTTTTAAAGTGCATTATGGGTATTTTGATGTTGGTTTTGTGAATTTCTGGTTTGTCATATTATAATGTCACACAAACATTCGAATCCGAGTTCAAGGCCGGTTGGTTACCATGGAGACGCCCAATGCTGTTCATATGTGACACATCAATATTTAATGCTGAGCTGTCAGATGACACACACACACACACACACACACACACTCATGCGCTCTCACATACTCACACTCTCTCTCTCTCTCTCTCTCTCTCGCACACACACACACACGTCTGGTTTGCTATCCTTGTGGGGACTCTCCATAGGCGTAATGGTTTTTATACTGTACAGACCGTATATTCTATTGCCCTACACCAACCCTACCCCTAAACCTACCCCTCACAGGAGACTTTCTGCATTTTCAGATTTTCAAAAAATCTTCATTCTGTATGATTTATAAGCTTTTGTACCCGTGGGGACCACAATTTAGGTCCCCACCATGACATGAGTCCCCATGAGTCTGTGTGTATTCAGGTACCCCACCAGAATAGAAAAATAGGTACACACTCTCTCTCTCTCACACACACTCACTCACACACTCACTCACTCTCGCACTCGCACTCACTCTCGCACTCACTCTCGCACTCACTCTCGCACTCACTCTCGCACTCACTCTCGCACTCACTCTCGCACTCACTCTCGCACTCACTCTCGCACTCACTCTCGCACTCACTCTCGCACTCACTCTCGCACTCACTCTCGCACTCACTCTCGCACTCACTCTCGCACTCACTCTCGCACTCACTCTCGCACTCACTCTCGCACTCACTCTCGCACTCACTCTCGCACTCACTCTCGC